AAAGGAGTAATGGTCTCAAGTTGCAGTGTGGGAGGTTTTGGTTGGATATTAGGAAAAAAAATTTCACTAGGAGGGTGGTGAAGCACTGGAATGGGTTACCTAGGGAGCCAGAATTTACCAATGTGCATCGCCAAAGAGCCACAGTAATATATCAGCAGTGCCCCGTCAGCTCCCCCCGACCCCCAGTGTCTCTCATCCACCAGCAGCACCACCAATCAGCACCTAATTCTCCATCCCTGTGCCTCCCATCTGCCACGATCAGCTGTTTTGTGGTGTGCAGGAGGCTTGGGGTTGGGGGGAGGAGGAGGAGGAGGAGGAGCAAGGGCACAGCAGACTCAGGGGAAGGTGTGGGGACTTTGGGGGAAGGAGTGGAGTGGGGCTAGGGCCTGGAGTAGAGCCAGAGGTTGAGCAGTGAGCACCCTGTAGCACATTGGAAAGTTGGCAACTGTAGCTCCAGCCCCAGAGTTGGCGCCTATGCAAGGAGCTGCATATTAACCTCTGAAGAGCCACATGAGGCTCAAAAACCAGAGGTTGGCCACCCCGATCTAGCCCATCATCCTGTCTTCCAAATGTGGCCAATACCAGGTGCTTAAGAGGGAATGAACAGAACAGGCTATCTAGCATCAAGTGATCCAACCCATCACCAGTTCCCAGTTTCTGGGAAAATCGAGGCTAGGGATTCACAGAACATAATGTTTCATCCCTGCCCATACTGGATAATAGCCATTGCTGGACCTATCCTCCATGAACTTATCTAGTTCTTATTGGACCCCTTTACAGTTTGGATTTCACAACATCCCTTGGGAAAGTGTTCCACAGGTTGACTATGAAGTCATACTTTTTTTGGTTTGTTTTAAATCTGCTGCCTCTTAATTTCATTGGGTGACCCCTTATTCTTTTGTTATAAGAATGAGTAAATCACATTTCCTTATTCAATTTTTTCACACCATTCATGATTTTATACACCTGTCGGATCCCTTCTTAGCCATCTCTTTTCTGGCGTTGTCTGGGCAACCACACAGATCTTGGTCTTATACGATGCCAGATGGGGGAAAACAGGAAAGAAACAGAAAGAAGGGAGAGGAACAGAAGCCCCAAGGGCAGAGGTCCACAGGCAAAGGTATAAAAATAGTCCTAGGGAACCCCATAAAAGGGTCAGGAGTGGTCTTACAGGCCCAGCACATCCTGCTCCCGTGCCAGCTGATGTAAAGGCAGATCACAGTCTCTTCCTTAGTGGTGATTCAAACTTCCCTCTGATCTATCAATATAGGTAGGGCCCTACCAATTTCACGGATGTGTAAAACATGTCATGGACCAAGAAAATAACCCTACCCCATGAAATCTGATCTCCCCAAAATCAGCTGGGCTGGGGAGGGACAGGACGTGTCCTTCCCCTGCTCAGCTGTTACTGGAGGGAGATTAGACCCACCTCCACAAGCAGTGCAGAAGTGAGGGAAAAGTGAGGGTATACCACCCTCACTTCTGCAATGCAGCAGCCCCAAAGCTGGGCTCTGAGCTTCTGCCTCCCACAGTTCCTGCCCAGGCACAGGGCACCCGAGCTGTGCGTTGCTACAGATGCCTGCAGCTCCTGCCGCAGACCCACACTGCTGCTTCACCACACTGCGAATGCTGCTGGGGCTGGGGTTCACCCAAGCTCCAGCCATGGGCTTGGGGCTGCCACCCACTGCAGCTCCTGCCCAGCTCAGGATGCCCAAGCTCCAGGGCTGCCGCCACTCTGCCTCCCCCGCCCCCATGCGGTTCCTGCCCTGGCTCTGGGATCTAGAGCTCGGGGGATTCTGTACCCCGTGGCTCCTTCACAGGCTCTGGGCGCCCAGGCTCAGGGCTGCTGCCTCCCCCCAGAGGCTCCTGCGGGGGCTGGGAGCACCCAGGGCCCAGTTGGGACTCGAGGCTTTGCCCCTCACAGCTCCTGCCTGAGCTCCATGCTTCTGCCCCACCTCCCCATGGCTCATGCTGGGTTCAGGGCTG